ATTATTAATAATTTTCATCTTTTTCATTGCAATATGTTTCCCTCTCACTGTAATAACATCCTTGATCTTGTCATATGTAGTCAAGATATATCCAACTCAGTTGCTTGTGGTAATGATATTTTTAAATCTGATCATAATTCAATTACTTTTAGGTTTCACTGTCGTCCTAGATTTTATATTATCAACATCAACAACAGGACTGTATATAACTACACGAAAATAGATAAGGATCTTTTAACACACTTTTAAATGTCCCATGGGATACTCTAAAACTCTGTGAAAATGTTAATGATGCTGTTGATGATTTTATTTCTTTGGTCTTAGCAGTTATCAAAGATGTTGTGCCAGTAGTAAAACCTAGACGGAGAGTACCACCATGGTTTGATGTTGAACTACGTAATCTTCTTCGTAAGAAGGAAAGGGTATTCAGGTTAAAAGAGAAAATTTTTCAGTCACTAGAGCTGAATTCAAGAGAATTTCTTGTAGTAAATACTACAGTTATGTTACCAAATTATCAAACGATATGACAACTAATTCTAAACGTTTTTGGGGCTGGATTAAATCCTCATATAAATGCAAAATTAAACCTGTAAACTTGAAACATGGTGATACTACTGCCTCTTCTCCTGAGGAGAAAGTTAATTTATTTAATAAATACTTCAGTTCTGTATTCAATATTAGCGATCCAAAGCCTATTTATCCTGACCTTCCAGATTATGACAATATTTCTACTTTTAATATTGATATTTTACGTATCGAAACACTTTTACGTGAAATAGATTTTAAAAAGTCATCTGGTAGTGATAACATAAGTAATATTATTCTTAAACTTGGTGCTCCTGCCATCTCTCAACCTTTCTGTATGCTCTTTAACTGGTCACTTAGTGAAGGTACGTTCCCTAGAGCATGGAAAATGGCCAATGTACACCCTGTCCATAAAGGTGGTAAAAGAAATGAGGTCTGTAACTACAGGCCTGTTTCTATTGTCCCTACTATTGCTAAGATATATGAACGTATAACCCATGATGTGTTATATGACCATGTTGCTCCTGCACTTTCATTACTCAGCATGGATTTATTCCTAAGCGTTCTTGTACTACTAATTTAGCTAACTTTTTAATTGTTGCATATAATGCTCTCAATAATAACTCTCAGTGTGATGTAATATATACTGACTTTTCAAAAGCATTTGACCGAATTAATCACCATTTACTTATTTACAAGATCTCTAAATTCGGCGTTACTGGTAACTTATTGAAACTCCTTCGTAGCTATCTTACACATAGAGAACAGAGAGTTATTATTGATGGTGCTACGTCTGAATGGACATCGGTACAATCTGGTGTTCCTCAAGGAACTTTTTAGGCCCTTTATGTTTTAATATTTTTTTATCAATGACTTGCCTCATAATTTTACTTCGCAATGTCTATTATATGCTGATGACCTTAAATTGTTCCGACTGGTTAGTAAGATTGACGATGCCAAATCTATTCAAGACGATTTAGATATATTGTACTTATGGTGCAACACTTAGGAAATGTCCCTCAACTTAAACAAATACAAGATTTTGACTATCACACTTAAACAACTTAAAATTTCTTTCCCTTATAATGTTAACGGCCACGTCTTGGAGGTCGTATATTTTCACCGTGACCTTGGTATTACTATTGATTCTAAGTTGACTTTTAATGAGCATATAAAACAGGTTTGCTGCAAAAGTAATAGAATGATAGGCCTAATTAAACGCATCTGTTGGAATATTAAGAACCAAAAAGCATTAACTAATCTGTATTGTTCACTTGTTAGACCTTATATCGAATTTAATTCGGTTATTTTTAACTGCATGTCTAATACATACCTTACTAAAATTAATATTATTCAAAAACGATTTATTAAATTTGTTTCTCGTACTTGTAATATCCCTTCCAATTATATCATTCTTCCTACTTTAAGTTCTAGACTAAATTACCTTGATTCTCTCTTTTTTTTATAATTGCGTTAATGGAGTTTATGGTTCTGATTTTGGTTTATCTGTTAAAACTTATCGATGTCGTAATTCTATCAGTTCCTTATTTAATGTTAAATTTTCTCGTGTTAATGCTACTAAATTTAGTTTTATTGTTCGATTACCTAAATTTTATAATTGTCTTGTTGATAAAGATAATTCTATTGATATTTATTATGATTCATTTAGAACGTTTAAACGTAAAATTAAGTTATATATTTAGATTTTTGACTGTTTTTTTGTGTGTATTGTAACTGGATTGTTCTTTATTGTTCTATTTGTTTTATGTTATTCCATTCTGTAAGTGGCGGGCTCCCCGCTGTTGATTGTGAAATGAAATAAAATAAAATAAAATAAAATAAAATTGACAAACACAAGATAACAGAGAGCAAAAAACCACACTGAGTTGGCCGGACAGGATTGCCAAAAAGTGAACTGAATCACTGTCTAGTGGCTCTCCGATCCTAATGAGATCATAAATTAAATTAGCATAAAATATTTAAGTGAAATAGGCCAATCAATAAAATTTAAATTAAAAATATATATGTACAAAATCATCAATGAAATCGGTCAAAAAACAATAGAATTTGAAAAAGAAGCATTGCAGTGAAAAACAAAAGTTAAAAAGTTTGTTTTACAAAGGTAAAATTTGAGACAAAAATAAAAATAGAATTATTGTTTAGCATAAAATAGTTTTAAAATTCTGATAAAAGATTCAATTCCAAAAACAAGTTCATCTCGAACATCAGCGGTAGTTTAGTTTGAATAAATTGTAGGTGAAAATTGGCATGAGTGCTACTTTGAACTTAAAAATACAGTGGCAAAGGCAATTTCTATTGCTCTTGCATAGCATAATATATAATGATGACATTGATATGAAAGCAGTAACAACAATGATAACATTGGCAACAGCATTGTCAACACTGTTTATATTCCAAGGCAGGGTTCTCACCACGCTGGTCGGCAGTGGTCGGGTCCGTCCAGCACTCAACATTTCTGACCAGTATTTTCAGGCTGCCGACCACCACTATTTTTCCAATTGATAGTGGAAAAAACAACATAAGCTAACAAAAATACTTTTGTTATATGACTACCAAAGCCTATTTATCCTGACCTTCCAGATTATGACTTAGACAATATTTCTACTTTTAATATTGATATTTTACGTATTGAAACACTTTTACGTGAAATACAGTGGTGGTCGGCAGCCTGAAAATACTGGTCAGAAATGTTGAGTGCTGGACGGACCCGACCACTGCCGACCAGCGTGGTGAGAACCCTGCCTTGGAATATAAACAGTGTTGACAATGCTGTTGCCAATGTTATCATTGTTGTTACTGCTTTCATATCAATGTCATCATTATATATTATGCTATGCAAGAGCAATAGAAATTGCCTTTGCCACTGTATTTTTAAGTTCAAAGTAGCACTGTAGATGTAAAAAAGTCATCTGGTAGTGATAACATAAGTAATATTATTCTTAAACTTTGTGCTCCTGCCATCTCTCAACCTTTGTCTATACTCTTTAACTGGTCACTTAGGGCCCGTTCGAGCGAAAAAATATCCGTGCGATTTACCAGTTAATTCACACTTTCTAAAACCACTCGGACACTAGTCTAATTACCTTTCCATCCGGATTATCCGCGACAATTTTGACCACCAAATTGCTGGGTAGAATACCGTGTATGGAATGACCATGTAGCCGGAGGCGATGATAAATCAACCTTAATTGTTTTTCCAAAAGTTTTGCCCACAACCTAGCACCAAATTCAATAGGTTTAACGGCCCAGGCGTGGTTGCAGCTCTCCTTCGCCTCCTCACAAATGCACGACGAAGTCTAAATTTAGTAGCATATAGCTAAGCTACACGATTGATTTGTAGATTTACCATTATTCGGAGAAATAAACTTGAATAAACTAGCCTACGTACAGATTTTCAAGCAGCCATTATAAATTATTGAGCTACATTATCGTTCCACCGTGCCACGCTGTGTGTACGTGGACCGGTTATAGCAGCAGTAGCAAGTAAACAAAGAATGGGTTGTTGACCATGGGATAAGTTGAAATTTTTTTCCGGAGTAGTTTCGTTACACGTATTTACCGTGAGCTAAAACTTGCTCGAACGGTCGACCACCCGCTGAGTGCTCAGCGCGATTACCCGGTGAAATAAACGGAATATGGTTGGCGTTTTTTGCTCGAACGGGCCCTAAGTGAAGGTATGTTCCCTAGAGCATGGAAAATGGCCAATGTACACCCTGTCCATAAAGGTGGTAAAAGAAATGAGGTCTGTAACTACAGGCCTGTTTCTATTGTCCCTACTATTGCTACATGACTACCTACTAGAATGGTAGTGTTGATAAACAACTCCCTGGCTGGACAATGAACATGCATACTACATTAGATAAGACAAAAGATATCAATTAACTACAGTATCTGTGGTAATGCTCTTCTAGGCTATTAGGCCTAGAAGAATATCTTGTTGATTTCGTGTGTGGTTAATGGTTTTATTTAGCTGGGAAGTTCCATGATCAGGCGTAAGCCTGGATAAAGTTGTCAACTGTGGTCTTTCAAATGACGTGAGTGGAATGAAAAGAATACACATATTTCCAGCTCATAATATCACTTTTGAAAAGTTTCACAATGATTTAATAATTCATTTTAATGATTGAAATAAAATGCTACTGTAATCAGATACGTTTAATAAAAACTATATTTATGAACATCAAACTTCATGGTCCCATCTTTTTGAGTCGTAACTGTTTACAAAATATATGCGGCGAATCAATTCAGAGAATCCCAATGTGCGTTGATTTGCTGTTAATTTGATTCGTGTGTTGTTCGATAATACAGTAAAGACTTTTAAAAGGGAGTAGAAATTCTTTTGTTTTGGTCGAACTAATAATATTAACAATGCTATTTTTGGGAAGATTTGATTTTCGTACACCACAGATTCATAGGTACATTAATCATATGATAACTACGATTTCTTCACCAAGGGAAGGCAGGGTGGGCGTGGTTGCCGATGCTGGTGAGAATCCTGCCAAGGTATGTTAAGTATGTTATTAATTGATGAGTTATTTTTCAGCATAATTAGTATTTTAATTCTAATATTCATTATTTCTTTATTAGAGTTGATGATTTTATTTTTTATTGTAGTCGTGGAGAGGTTTGTACAATTGCTCCGTTGTATGTGACAACCTCAGTTCAACATCATCCTCTCAAAGAGATGTCAATACTTGCCATGGCAACGCTTTCAAAGGTATTGGAAATTCATAGAGCATAAATAATTTTTAAAGCTAAATAGAGATAACCAATTGTTTGATGGAAATTCATTGGACTACGGGCCTGTTTATACTGATGAGAAAGAACTGTTCTTTGCATCAGTAGAAACAGGGCCCAAAAAAAAAAACCGATACATTGGCATGAAAATACCGTGCAGAGAATGCCAAAAAACAGTTCTTTGTACAGGAGGTAATTTTTAGCTGCAACATCAATATCACCTAATTTGACCTTGGTCAACCCAGCTGGGTAGAACAAGTACGAGTTGATAGATTGTGACCCTGGTGAGGGTAATATTATAAAGTGTTGCAAGTGAAATAGCTAGGACATACAATATGAGTCAAAAGTAGACTTAAAGTTAACAATTTCAGAAATTAAATAAAATTACTCTTTTCTTTATATCAACAGGTATTTATTGTTTCGATGAGACCCAAACTGACTGTTATGTTCACAAAACCACTAAAGGTAAATTTGAAATCATGCTTTTGGCAGCATACATACAGTAGTGTACCACATCATTAACAACATGTGACCGTGTCTCTTTTGTATTCAGCTGGTTTCCAGCCTTGCTTTATTTGTGTCCTTATGGAATCTCCCTCTTTCTGGTAAGGCGTTTGCATTGCTATCATAATAGTACTTTTCTACTTTTCAATTTCTCTGCCACCAACCTCTAATTTTTTACTTCTACCTGTAACAATGAATCAAAACTAGGTATTTCTGGTTTTGTCCTCCTAGACATTAACCTTTGTGCCGGTGATCCTAAAGTATCATCTCTTGGCACATTTCTTAGAGGTAACAAGTTTAACACAAACTCAGTACCTTCTTGGTCTGTTTTTATAAGCAAATTTTTCATTTTATTTACAGCATTTTCAGCCAGAACATTTGATTGTTGATGCTCTGGTTAGCTGACCTTCTGTTCAATGTTATACTTATTTACAAAGTCTTCAAATTCCTGACTGGTATACTGTGGTCGCTCATCTGTTACCAATGTATCAATCAGTTTCTTTCATATTGTGAATTATCATCATGACGTTGTGCTAGACAATCTCTCTATTTCTATGAACCCTGAATAATAATCTACCATAACCATATAATTATCATTTTGGTACTGAAACAGGTCACTTCCAACCTTTGCCCATGGCCTTTCTGGAATTTCCTGTATTTGCATCGGCCCTTTTTTGTTTTTTTGGGACATTTCGAGACCAGCTCTATAACTTGGGCACTCATCCCTGGCAAGAAAAGTGATGTCCTTTCCTAAGTGTTTCGCCTTAACCATTCCCATATATGAACTTTGTGTAAGGCTTGTAACATTTGTGATCTCAATGACTTTGGCACACATATTCCGTCCCATCAATAGACTATGCCACCATAAGTAGATAATTCATCCCTATAGTCCCAGTACAATGATAAACCTTGTGGTAAATCTTGTTTGGATTCAGGCCATCCATTCGTAATTTAGGATTTTTAACTTTTGTAATTCTTTATCTCCTTGTGTTTCTTCAACAATTTTGTCATGTTTACCATTTGCTAGGGAGTCAACTTCGCATGTATTCATCATTCATGGTTTCATTTACAATTGGTAATCTAACAGCAGATAAACTACTAAGGCAATCAGCTAGTCCAATATCTTTGCCTTTAACATAGATCAATCTAAAAGTATAATACTGTAATTTTAAGCATCATTTGCTGTATTCTCATTGGAGCCTTCAAGTCCATATTGGCTTTTTCGTTAAAATTTCACAAGGTTTAGTTTTTCCATACACTAATTTATGAAGTCTTTCTAGGACAAATACAACCGCCAACATTTCCTTTTCTACTTGGGCATATTTTTGCCAATTTACTGTAAGTGCCCTAGAAGCATGCTTCTAAGTGCCCTAGAAGCATGTATAATAATATAACCATCAGGTTGTATTACTGTAGCACCTAAACTCTTTTGAAGATGCATCCACACTTACTGTGACATCATCATAATATTTTGAAGCATGGTTCACTACATAGGAGTTCTTTAATTTTCTGAAATGCTAGTTTACACTCCTCAGGCCATAGCCATTCACTTTGGGAGTTTAATCGTCTTAATGGGTCATTAACGGTACTTAAGTTAGGAAGAAATTTATCAACGTATTATCATATCAAACACAGATTCCAAGTTTGAATGGTTTGTGGGATCTTTCATTTCTACAATAGACCTTATTCTATCTGGTGTGGTCTTCAAACCTTCCTCTGTAAATGCAATGACCAGTGTATTATAATAATAATAATAATAATAATAATAATAATATTCCTAATAGCCACACTACGTATCGGCTAGGCGTACAGCAGCTAGGCCTAGCTTATCCTATTTTTGTTTGTTACGCACCACTGACTTAGGTTTTTTGTTATCACGATGTCTACCGATTCGTGGAAAAGGCGTATTAAAATAAAAAATATTGGCGTTTGTCAGCAATACATTTTAATTTTATTTAGGTAAGTAGTAAGTATATGAATAATTTTAATGCACTAGTTAGTTGATAACTTCATTCTAACTTGTTTTGGGTCTTTTTTCTGCATTATTATAAGCTGTTAGACATTGCCTAGGCCAGGCCTAGGCTAGCCATGTGATGTTCATTGTAATACTACAAAACAAATTCAATTTAAACTCAAATTTGTAAACATACTTGCCTTATATCTTAACTAGCAGGCAATATTTATTGGTATTTTAGTTTGTTTTTAAGTGTGCGATTGATTTGCATGCCAAGTGAAATTAGTACTCTTATTTTGTCTCGTTTTACTGTGCCATAATTCTCGGCTAGGCCTAGATGTACGCCTAGCCAATACGTAGTGTGGCTAAGGAAAGTTTCGTTTTTCTGAGCATGTGCAAATTATGCTTAACTGGCTCATTAGCATAACAATACCACACATAAGGCTAATTCAAGTTAGACGGCTTAAACCAGCCAGCTTCCTATCCTGGTAACAGTTAAAAGTCCTTGCTTGAATCGTGAGGGTTGGTTTGAACATATGCAAAATTCTCTTTTTGAAAGCACAGGTTGATAAAGATTTATTTTATGCAGTATTGGCTAGTGCATCCATCAGTAAAGGAGTTTTTTAAGTCAGCAAGTTTACTTTTCAGTAGATTGAAAACATCATTTTGAATGTCCATACTACTGTTGTTCAATGCTCCCTGGGATCACGTGTACAAATGTTGTGACATTCCAAATTGCCATCATCTTTATTTATTTCTGTAACAAACGGATGCAGTGTTACTTGTTTATTATCTCAATGGTAACTTTGTATACTACTGTTCTTGTGACTTGCTGTACTGTATACCGTATACATTTTAGTAGGATTTGATCTGATTTATTTTGAAATTCTCAACATTTAATAGACTACATAAATTAGATAAGTCAGAGAAACAAAATTTCAGGACAACCCTTTTTCGCATTTCTTACTGGACAATGTGTAATCACGCATATCATTTAATTAATTAATTTTTTTAAACATGAGATTTAAGGGTTACCCTTGTCATCTTGTACCAGCTCACATGATACAATTGCATATTATCCAGAGGACATGGAACTAGGGGGTGCTGCGTTATGGAGAGTAATGTGTGACCGGAAATGGTCTGCTAGTTGGTTGTTACCACACGCCAGTGATGTTGGAGTACAGCAAGATGAAACTATTTATGTAATGCATGAATAAAGTTCTGGATTTGTCAGGTAGTGAAATGATTATTGTACTTTTTAAGTGCTCCCTCCATGCATAAGTGTAAGCTAAAATACGGACGTGATTAATTAGCGAAGATATGGAGACAATTATTTTCGAAGTTCCCTCTTTCCAAGAGGGATGCAAATGCTTTGTGAAAATGAGTACACTGTGGTACTCATTTTCACAAAGGAATACACTCAGCTGGTTAGCTAACTAACAATATGCAAATTTACAGGAACAACTGGGAAGAAAGGTGCAATTACGTTCTGTTGCCTAGCAAACGTCTGTACCGTAGCATGTGGCACATCT